TTTTTGATGACTCTCTGGCAAAACTGAGCTGTCCATGAAACATATCTGGTCTGGTTTTGAGCTGTGTGCATCTGCTGTAAACATAGATCAGTTCTTAAATGATTCTTGCCTACAAACAATTTCAGTACGGTGGCAGCATAATTCAAGGAGGGATAGGAATGTGTTTAATGCTCAGAGCAAATAAAAATGGGGTTATTTCTATAATAAAAATATAATATTTGGAAAAAATTAGCTTTTTTTTTTTAATTTAGTGCTATTTTTTTTTCTGTCTGAAAAACTTAATGTCTGTTTTATGAGTTTTTGTAATCTGAATACACAGGTATATGCTTGTAGATTCTGGCATTCATTCCTCCATCTCATTGTAATTATTGGTTTGTGCTTCTTTATATAAAAGAGTGTGGGGGTGGGCATGAAGCCTTAAGTCTGGAATTGTGAATTACTTTGATTTGTGAATTTTCAGCTGTATTTTTCATAACTGTGAGAAAATTTTAGAATAGCTGACTAACTATTAGTTTGTATATTCAATGCACATAATACACATATATATTTAAAACTTTAGGATAAGAGTAGAACTAACAGGAAATGAAATACTGTTGGTTTTGGTTTTTATTATGAGTAGTTGATTACTAAGTTAATGCCTGTAGTCACATGAAATTTCAGATAAAATGTAAAATGGTGTCAGGTCAAAAAGATCAATAGTAAGGATGAAATTTATCTCTGGACTGTGAATTTCTATAAAAATAACTTACATGTCTCATCCAATCTAGAAAAGTCCTGCTTAGTAAGTCTTGCCAAAGCAGCATTAATAAGCATCAAAATTGATACTGGCTGTCAAAATGATGTTGTATTATGACTTTTCTGTTTCTAGTATTGGAGTCCTTTCTTGTAAAGCCACATACACAGAAACAGATAGTAGTTATTCTTATTTTTTGCATGGTTATGAGTAGTATGATGATAAATTGCAGTCAAATATTTTAACTTCAGGTACGTCATGCAGTCTTAATGGGTTTTTTTTAACATTTTACCATTGTTTCTTGAACTGTTAGGAAAAAGTAGAAAACAACAGCAGTAAATCATATTAAAAAACATAAGAGTTTTGGTTTTTCTTTCTTTTTTAATGTTACTTCACTAATAGTGTTAGAATGCAATAGACTATAGAATGTAATATCTTTTCCTACCGTGTTTCTGAGGAAAAATTACAAAGTGTGTGTTTGAAACAGAATCATTTGACTGTGGTTAGTTCTATTTTAGGGTAAGGGGTTGTTTTTGGTTTTTTTTTGTATTTTGTGGTCTTAATACAATATTTGGTTTGCTAATGGATCTGAAATTCCAATTCTTCAGTTGTAGAAGTACTTAGATTTAAGTCATTGATGTCCATTTAAACCTAAGAAAATCCAATTGTTTGAGCTCTGCACTGAGTTTATTATGGTATTTTTTACATCAATCCTGTCAGTTATCTAAGTTTGTCTCTTAATATCTGGGAAATGGATAATATTTGGGGATTAAAAGAGAAATCTTATTTTTCTGTTTAAGGTTTTAATTGTCTGCCCTTTAAGAGATGTTCCACATGCTTCAAGCATTTCCCCAGTGGTCCTTAATATTAACATAGATTAACCTAATTATGAAAGCATTTCATACAGGTGATCTGTGTGCTTGTGATGTAGCACTTCTTATACAGGGATACCAAGGGCTATAATTTAAAATAGATAATTTAAATATAATTCAAAATAAATAGGGAAAGTAGCCATACAATAAACACCTTTTGATAACCTTCTTAGAGCTTCCCTTAGATGATTCAGTTGTAAGCAGAGGTAATATAAGGAGAATTCCAGTTTGTCTGCCTGCATTGCTCCTTGCTCTGGTGTTTTTGTTTTGTTGTTTGTTTCTTTGTGGTTTTTTGTTCTGTTTTTATTTCATGTAGGTTGCATAGGAGCTTTTTTTTTTTTAAATACAAGAACCCTTAAACTTTTGTGGGTTATCAGACCTGTGGTTTGTTCCCAGGAAGGAATGTGTGTGATCACAGTAGACCCAGGAATTTTCTATTTGCAATAATGTAGGATTGCACATACTTTATCAGAAACCAAACAATGCAGAAGACATGAATGTCACAGGTTGCTCTTGGATTGACTAAAATGGACAAGGTGTTTTTTGGGGTGTTTTGCATGTATTGATCTGCAGATGTGAAAAGAAACTAAAGCTCTATGCTGACAGCTGCTTGAGCCCAGTCACAGTTACCTGATGACAGACAATTAAGTATTTTGTTAAGTGTTTCCAAGGAGGATCTTTTGCTTTCTCTTTGTTCCGGGGACCTGACAAAAACAGAGAGGCTGGACAAGTTTGTGTGTATGCACATTCTGTATGACTAACAATTTTGATAGCTTTTTTGAGGGGATGAATGAATATCAAAGCTTTTCAAATATTTAAGTTTTGAAATAACTGTGAAAGAGATCTGAGAGCAGAACTGAGGACTTGTATCTCTGCCTGGCACAACCCTGCTTACAGCAGTGCTTAATTCTACTGCTCCAGAGTTGTCTTTATACATACTTCTTAAAACATTCTGCTACCTTGGTAAAATGAAATACAGAAATTGTATTTACTCTTCTTCATTAAATAAATTACTGATTCACAAGCGAAATTTCTCTGATGTTCTATGGAAACCCAGATTATGATAAAATTGCTTAGCTGTAACTTGCATTTCTTGTAGATGTTATATGTCCACCTGTATTAAAACATGCATAAAGTTGGCATTTTGGGACGGGGAAATAGTCTTATCTCAATATTTTTAAGAGGACACTTTAGGGCACGAGAACATTAATATTCTATTTTCACTATCCTGTAATGTTCTGTGTTATGTGATTCCAGCTGCTAATGTGGATCAGCTACAGCTGGAATCCTGAATGTTAGTGATGTTTAGGTTATAAGATTCTTCTGCTGATCTCCATCATGCCAGTCATAATGAGTATTGAGAACAAAATTACTACATTTATACCCTACTTTTCAGAAAGAAAATGGAGCTGCCTGTTTTTCAATATTTTATGATTAGTATTGTATAATAAATGTTGCATGTTTTAAATTTTAAGTTTTAAGCATGTTTTAAATTTCAAAAATGAGGAAGGCAATAAAATACAAGTTGGAAAACTTAAATTAAGTAAGTTTAGATTATTTTTAAGCATACAAGAGGAATAATAAATCTTCAGGTTTGCAAAGATCTGTATTAAAGAAGTATGCATTCTGTAATTTGAACTCCTGGAAGGTATGAGAAGGGTGAAGGAATTGCACCAGACTCCTACATACAATGGTTAATTTATATATCAGCAAAACAATTTACTTTTGAGAAGGACAACTGTGCCCTAAAAGAGGTGACCTGGAGAGCTTTTGAAGTCCCCATCATCAAAGGTTTTAACAATATATTAGGCAATCTGTTATGAGGGGCCCAAAGATAACTCATGATGCTTCAGACCCACAAGATGCAGTGTCTGACATCCTCACAATCCTCCCAATTTGCATTTTTGTCCCTTTTTTAGTTCTATCTTCAAGACTATTTGATGTTTCTGAGGGAAATTACCTGATGTCATTTTGGGAACTTATTTTGTAGGTACAAAGGTGCAGAGATAGAACACAGAATTAACAGAACTAAAGAAGGCCTTGTGTTTGAATTCCATTTAGTTACATTTGTATGACTGCAGAGATTTTTAATGGTTATATAAATAAAGAGAGGAGAGCTTATCTAGGAATATATGAATTCTGATTATATCTGCAAATGCCACTATCTGGTATTTTAGGAATGTCCATGGGAAGAATGTGCAGAACTTATGTACAAAAATGATATTCACTATAAAATGCAAAGGCATAGCAGTAAAGGAAATCGAGGGAAAGAGCGAAAAATCAGAAGCAAAGAAATTTACCTATGCCAATGGATCCAGTTTGTTGTTTTGGGTTTTTTTTTTAAACTGCATCCAAAGCTAAAGGAACTCCCAAGATCCCACATTTTTGTGTCATCTGTTGGCTACTCTTCAAGTCTAAGCAGCAATGTCTTCCTGAATTCAGGAGGCTCAAATTCCCACCATGAATTTCAGGTGATGGTGGTGGCTTGTCTCTCCTTCAGTGACTTTTGGTAAATTCTGGTTTTCTAAAGGAGGGTGGGAAGGATTCTGCACTGCAGCACATGTGGGTATCTTTGTTTGAATGTGTCTCTAGACTGTGACAGCATAATAATTTGCATTATTTTCTGGAGGAAATGATCCTGCTAAGGCCTTCTGTCACACAGAGGAGCTTTTCCAGTCAGAGATTCAGAGCTGGCATTTAGGTGACCTAAATGATCAGTGATAATCCGTCAGTTTAGCCAAAGGGAAAAAATGCAGTTGTTGTCATCATCATCATCCCAAGATTAAAAAGAAAATTCTAAATGTAGGCAGCGCAAAAATAAGTTTGGAAATCTGAATTATATGTTGGATGTGTTAGGGAGCAGGGCTGTGTGGTTGTTGTTGTTTGTTTTCTCCAACTTTGTGGGGTGGGGGATGTTTATTTATGCTGCTTCTCTGATCATTTTTCATAGTCCATGATCCTAAAAGATTTGAAGGCTGGAGTAAAAATGCAGATGAATAAATGTGTCCATACAACTGGTGATGTGTTAATTTTTTATTGACGATGAGAGGACCTCCAAAATTGCTGGAACTGTAGGTTGCTGTATTTGGGAGAAAATCAATGCAGTGTACTTTATGAATGTGACTTTGCCTTGTTTTTTGTTTTTTGTTGTTTTTTTTTCTTGAATAGACTATTTAGTCATTATAAAATTTAAATATTTTACTGTCTGTTCCTCTATCTGCAATCTTAGTGCATCCAGTAGGTGAAATGAGAACAAGACTGACCTCAAACCTTTCACTTTCCTTTTTCTTTCCCCTTATTATTTGAAATAAAAGGTTAGGTTAGCTGGATATCTGGGGGAAATGCTTTTTCCCTTTTTTTTTTATTTTTATTGAGCTATTGAAGTAATTGGACGGATGTGGTTTTCTCCAAAGACAAAAGACAAAACTCCAAATCGAATAATAAATCACATGTAAGAGAAAAATAAAATAAAAGCTATATCAAATCTGTCTAAAAGTGTCTACAAAATTGAACAGTGTAGAGACGGCTGAGTGTGGAGAAAATATTGAACAACTTGTAGCCACCATTTATCAAAGAATGTAATTTAACAATTGTTGGCATACAAAAAGCAAGAAGTCAGAAAGATGTATCACAGAAAATAAAGCACAATATATTATTGATATTTGAGAGCAAGAGTATATTAGGGGTTTTGAAATTTGAATCTAGGTTTTTACATTCAGGCAATGATTTTTAAAAAGATTATTTCAGCGGCATGGCTACGGCAGGATTGCTTTTCTGATTTAGAAATGCCCTAAAAACATCAGTTGTGTGAAATTCAGCTGCACCTGGCACAGTTTTCCTCCCCTTTCCGGATCTCTCGTAGTGGGACTCCCCTGAGATCGCTGACCTTGGGTTCTTGCTGTGCTGTGATACCCTCACTCACAGACCTTCCCCTGCTGGCCAACCCTTTTGTTTTACATATGCTGTGACCACAAGAGCCTTCAGAAAATACAATACTGTTTAACCTTGCTAGAGAAAATAGAAGAGATTTATTTCTCAGCCTTACCTAGAAATCTAGTAGCTCTGTCATGCCTTTCAACTTGACTTCTGAAAATATGGTCTTTCTTCCCACTTTGTCTTTCTTCTCTGGTCTTTAAAACTTTTCCTTAAGTTCCAAAAAGGTTACTGTTCACCCTTTTCTGTAGTATGCCTTCCTGTCCAGAATAATTTTCCTAAAAAAGACAAGACAGGGCTGCTAAAGAAAAATGTCCTTATAAATGTTCTTATTTTACAGATATCCCTGAATACTTGAAGATACCTCGTCATTCCTTTTTATCCATTCACTAATTGGCTTCTTAATTTAGACAAAGAAAATAAGCCAGCCATATACAGCAAATTTCAGATTTTAGGTTGCATTGTGCCAAAATTTTTTTACTGGCCAGTCATAAACCATTTTATTTGTATTGCAGAAATTTCAAATCAGTGTCCTTAAATCGTAGTGGATACATCTAATACTTCAAGGTGAGGTAGGCTCACTGCCTTGAAGAGTTTCTTTCTTTTGTCAGCAAGCAAGGAAGTCTAGGTGGGAAAAAAGAGAATGTGTTATGTGAAATGTGGATAAATCAACTGACTTGCTGAAGATTTAAAGTAGAAGTGGATTTTTTGACTGTAATGTTGTTTGTTGAAACCCACAGTCTTCTGTCACTGACATCAGTGGCATAAAAAGCTGAGTTTTCCCATATCTGATGCTCCAACCAAAATCTCAGCTTCTCTCTGCTAAATTTCAGTCTTGATGGTGCTCATTCAAAACATTTGTCTATGCTTGTCTTCTATGGCTTTTCATGTAATAATAAGAGGTGGGTAAAATTTTTCAAACATAATGGATATAGGTTGAAAATTGTCTTCTCTTTACAGAGTGACAAGGAGATTAAAGAGGGAAGAGAGGAAAATTCTTTCAGCTTCAAAAAACAAGAAAAACTTACCTCAATGGTAACAATGAAAGGGAATTTTCCCTCATACTAAGTATCACAAAGATGGAAAGAGCTGCAGCTAGTTGCCTTCTGTAGGAAGAAACATATTTTGAAAGACCATTTCCAGCTAATTTGGCTGTTGTGTAGTTTGAACTTTATGAATTGACTTGTAATTGGACCATGCTGTCAATGGGAAGACTTACAAGTATTGAACATGACATTTTTAAGAAGGCTACTGTCATCTAGTCCTCTATTAGTGGATTTGCAGAGAGTTATAATTGGCGTAACAAGCCTAGTAACCTGTCCTACTTCCAATTATAATGTACAACCTCATTTATATCTGTTCTTTATTTACTGATAGGTAATAATTCTCTGTCGAGTGCACATGCTTCAAAATAAAGCTGTCTCATCATGGAATATGTGGGTTCTTTTAATATACATGCATATATGTGCCCATACACATAAATTATATCATTTAAATATGCATATAACTGTGTGTGTATATATTCTGAAGAGTTCAAGTACATATATTTTCTTAATATATGTATTTATATATATATATATACACACACACACATGTATTTTTATTGTGTTTAATTAAGTACAAAAGTCTCCTGTTGCTTTTAAATTTCTGGTGGGGGAAGGGAGATAGTTTTTTCTCCAGACCTGTGTTAAGTTTATGTAGTTATTCTGGCTAGAAGTGATAAAACATTCATGTAGATGTAATTCTCGGGACTGGGAAAAAAAAAAAGGGGAAGAGTAAGAAAATGAACAGGTTGATGAACTCAGTGCATTCATTAACAACTTAGATTTGCATGAAGGAGAAACTGTTCACATCTTACAAAATTAGAATGGCATCATTAATTTTGTTTACTACACAAGCAATTTTTAGCGCGTGTAGGATTTGCGGGCAGTTTGCAGGTGAATACGTCTTGTTGAACAGCCCTGTGGAAAGAACTCTGCAGAAGCATCTGCACTCCTTGTACCTCCCCAAAGCAGAGTTTTTATTTTCACTGCAAGCAGAATATTGACAAGTCACAATGGTGAACCTGGAAGTAAAAGAGGGATCAATGGAGAAAATTAAAATAAAAAAAAAAAAAATAAAAAAAAAAATACAAACCCTAGGAAAATGGTATTTTGATGCATTCATAAAGCTAAAAGTGTCAGGTTTTCAACAATTTGAATAAATTGTAAATAAATACATGGCAACTTGGTCTTCACTGCTATGCACTCCTTGCTTGTTTTAGTGAAGACTGAATGGAGAGACACCAAAAGGAAAAAAACCAACCAAACAAACCTTTTAGATATGAACAAGAGAAGCAAAGACACCACAAAAGGGTTTGGTCTCAAGTGTAGCAGCCTTTGAATTGTTAATGTAGTTCTGCCCTACAAGATGGGCCAGCAGAAGAGGAATTACATATTTTGGGTTTTTTTTTGTTGTGAAGATGCTCTTGAATGAACACCTTCTCAGAATGTACTTGAGAATTTAGAGAGGTGTGGATAGCATCTTTTTGAGTAATTCAATTCCATTAACAAAGTGATTCCATTCTAACTTTGGGTTCTGAGTAATATTTTATTTCAGCAGCATTATCCCTGAGCCTCAGAGAACAGAAAACAATGGTTCTGTTCATTTTGGTGATGAGGTGGTTGTTAGTGAAACATTTTAAACTGCAGTCTTTGTTTTTGTTACCCTGTTGGGTGTGAAGAGCTACCAGCATGAGACTACGTGGATTCAGGATACTCAGGGAGGGCTGTAGTGTCCCTGTTTCTCTGTGTTTGAACATTGCTCACTGTTGGTTGAAATATCATCTGTTCCTTCTGGTTTGCTTGCTCCATTAGGGTGCAAGAAAGATCTGAAGATATAGGCTTCAGTGAAGAAAAATAGCGATCGTGTAGCAGATTATAAATTATTGGGTATCTGCAGATTAACTGGTGTTTATTTGCATCAGCTTCACAGAAGAAGGATGTTTCAAGAAATAGGAGCAAGGGGATAACATAAGATTTAGGTTCTTTAGAACTTACCTTTGCCAAGGCAAATTGTGCTTTAAGTTTTAGAATTCACTGATGTGTGTGCATGTGTTCTCACCTACTTGTGACTAATGATCTGTGATTTCTCTGCACACCTCACCGTGCTTTTTTGAGTGAGTATTCTGGTGTGTTTTCCAGCTTCTCCACATAGAGTTTCTGACATAGATCTGAACTCTCTCACAGCACAGCAGTGTCTCTAATAAATAAGTCAAATAATCTTAGAAACGGTGTTCGATAGCTTTGAATCGATAGTGATGAAATTTCTCTGTGTTCTTGCTTGCTCAAACTTCTGTCTAATCTATCTTTGTTCTCTTCTTCTTGTGCAATCTTTTCCTTGCTTCCAGTGGCTGCTACAAAGAACAAAGCTAGAGGTGAGTTTCTGCCTGCGCCCTTCAATTTGCATTGCATGGTTCTGCAGCCCACGCATTTTCTCCCAAGGTTGTTTCTGCTTCTCCAAACAAAGAAAAAATTTCTTTAGGTCCTACAGTATGATAGATTAGTTCTTTACAATTTTGTAATTGCACCTAAGTGCGTTGTTTATCAATCAGCACTGCTCATGCTGTATTTTGCTAATTGCTTTAATTTGGGAAGTTTTTAGGAAAAAGATAAAACTAAGTGGTTTGCAGTTAGATTTCTGACTTGCATTATTGTAATGTAGGGATATTGATGGCATTTTAATCGAAATGAAGATATTGCATAAAAATGCTCATAAATATGTAAATGTAATTTATATTTTTTATCTCTAGTCATAGTCATAAATATCTGAACAGAGAACAATGAACTCCTAAGTGTCTCCTAAGCATTCCCTGTCTTTTCACACTAGTATAAATGATCATCACTGTTCCTGATAGCATACCAATATATAGAAAGGCATACTATGATATCTGCAGAGATTTATGGCTGCAGAGCAGCAAGGTGATTGCCACAAATCAGTGTGACAAAGAAGTAAACCTTTCAGAACTAATCATGTAAGGTCAGCGGTGCTGTAAACCATTTCCTGAATTTCAACGAAGCAGTGATGTAGCAAATGTAGCCTAAGGGGTGTATTTTGACTTACAGATGCACATAAATCGATGCATACATGTTTGTATATACAGATGCATGTGCATTTATATGTATGAACATGTATTTTCATGGAAAATAATAAAAATATGTATTTTGCTTTCACTTTTATATTATTTCTGGTAGATAAATTTGAGTTGTCTGATAATTAAACATCAGATTTTAAAGCAAAAATCTGTGCTAGTTTACGTGTATTTTGGAAGTCAAAGATTCACAATGTTTGCAAAGTTAAATTCCATACATTGCTTAGCTTGAGGTTGTAGAACAATAATAGTAATAAAGAAAACACAGCCAGTTGAGGGTGTTTATGTATTACAATAATTAAACCAATAATTAAAATACAGCTCAGGTTTGTTTTTTGTTTTTTGGTTTTTTTTAATCCTTGCATGGCTTTTTGTAAGATCTTTTTCTCAGAAACTTTGCATGCATTGGGTGACATGAATGAGGGGAGCGAACAAAGTCAAGTTCATCTATTTGCCTATGCATGCTTTGAAAGTTGCTTTACTCCTTTCTGTACTGTTATGTATTCAGCTGTGATGCTGTGTAACAGCAGTCAAGACTTTGAGACCTCCATAATTAATGAAAAAAAAAGCCCAAACCAAAACAACATCCGCAGAAAGCGACTTTTCAGCACAAATAAACACAATCTCATCAGTATTCAGTGATTAGTTGATACTCTCACATATTGCCGTTCAAACAGAAACTGCCCAGGAGGCACAGGAATTGTAGGATGAGTCAGAATTACTCAGGGGTGCCACTCTGTGAGCATTAACACACCCTTATTTCAGAAGTGCACATGCATATTGAACGCACAGCTGAAACTCGATATGCTGAACGAGGTTTGACACCGTGATCTGCGTTATCTTTGGAGAGCTCTTGCTCGGCTGCACAGCGCCTTCAAGAAGTCCTCAGCTTTTCCTTTGGAGCTGAACAGCCCTGTGATGAAAGCACCCAATATCCACAAGGAATTCAGTCCTGCAATAGTTCTGTCTTTTACCAAAAGCATAGGACCTATTTTATAATCTCCTGTGGTGGAAGACGTGAAGTAGATGATGCCTTACTGCTTTTCTCATTACTCTGTCTAAGCAGTAAAGGTCTGCTCTCCTTTTCAAGTCTAACACTTAACTGGCAAACAGTTTTCTAATATGGCACTGGAAACATCAATTCACAACTGAGAGAATTCTCAGGAGGAGCTTCTCTTTTGGCACTTAGAGTGTGAAATCCAGCAGTCCTTCATGTCTTTGCTCTTATGTATGGTTCTTCATCTTTCCTTTCTGAAAGTCTGGAATTTGTGCTGCCATTTTCAGCAAGGCACAGTTGACTTCATGCCTGCCCTAAGATCTGAGGGTTCCAGAGCACATTATTAAGTGATATTCTGTGGGATCATCTGTCTTTTGTTTGTGCATTGTTAGCATGGGAAAACTCCTGCTGGTCTCCACTTCCCTCCCCCTCCTTGTGGGATTGTCTGTGAGCTGAACACCAGAGCCTGCGCTCTCCAACATTGCATTCAATGCTATTTCCTGAAGTATTTTCTCAGTCTTTGTAGAAGACTGCTTGTATTAAGTGCTGTAAAGCAGCTGTTGAACTCTCTGCTTTAGCCTTGCTTTGAGGCACTTGGAATCAATTTAGGTTGAAAGGTCATCTGGTCTGCAGGTCATTTGGGCTGAGCTACCGCGTAAGTAAAACCCACTTAAATCTGTTTGCTCACAGCCTTCCAGATAAAATTGAAGTATCTCAAGGATCTCACAGCTCCAGGATAGATTTGCACTATGATTGCTTGATTTTACCATGGTTTTCTTTCTTAGACTTTTGATTACCTGGAACAAGCTGCATCAAGCTTTTTGTGGTCTCCGGAGAGGGCAAATACTTGGATTTTTCACAGAAGGACAGGTCCACCTTTGGATCCCTGGGCAGATGCTGCCTCAGGATGCTTATGGGCAGAATACTTGAGACATTTCCAAGAAGTCTAGTTCAGAAGGGTTTGAAAGGGTGGTGGGCAAAGTGAAACATAAAAATGGTCATTTATTGCACTTAATTTGATGAAGCAGAAACTGAAGATGCCACCCGAAAAACCTCAGATTATCAGAGGCTTTTTCAGTGCATGACTATTTTAAAGACTGTTTCTTAATGCACCAGATGAGATTTGTTTAACTTCATCTCTATAAATGAACATTTCCTCCAGCAGAGCATCTGTTTGAAGACTGTTTGACCTCTTAAGAAGTGCTATTGTGACAATTTTGTGACAATATTGTTTCAGATAATCTTCTGGCAGCAGTTAACAATGGTTTCCAGCCTTAATGGTTTTACCAGATCTGCTAATGATGTGTCAATTTTCTGCCAGCAAGTGGAAGAGAGGGCCAAATATCTTCATTCAAATGTGATTAGTTGAGGAATGGAGTTCTGAGCTTCTCATTTTCTCTTCTTTGATACACTCAGGGTCATCTGCTATTAAAAAGTTATAGCCAGAGCTGTCCCAAACATCCTGTAGTTAGGCAATTGGTTTTTAACTCTTCAAAGTATAAACTGGAGTTTCTGATAATTTTGGTTGCGGGGTTTGTTGGTTTTTTCTTCGTCTGATGGCACTTTTTGTTGCTGATACTTTTTTGTTTGTTTGTTTTTGGCTGGGAATACTGAGGATGACTATAGCAACTTCTTAAAAAGTAAAAAAAAAAAAGAATATGAAGGCCAACTTCTATTGCAGGAGGGGAAAGCAAGCCCTCCAGAAAGATCTCTTATCATCTGCTTGTTGAGAAGTACAACTGTTCCTAAGACTCCTGTGGCCCATAGATTAGAAATTATGACATTTCCAAGAAGATCCCTAAGTCCCCAAGAAGAGACTTTTTGCAGAGGGGAAGATGTGATTGCTTTAATATTGCAGGATTCATACAATCTCTATAAAAACCTGTTGGATTGGTAGCTATTTCTGCTGTGCTTCTTTCCCCCATTTTAGCTGTGTATGAAGCTTTATTTTTTTATTTTTTTTCTCAAGGGAAATGCCATTTGTATCATAGTGCCACTGCTTCTCATAGGAAAGGACTGCTGTAGTACCCACACAATGCTATATTCTCTCTCAAAAACTGTCATAAAAGCTGTACTTCTGGTGGTTCTAGGGGATGTCCTTTTAATGGGAGATACCGTCAAACTTTTTTCTATTTTAGTATTACAGTTTTAAGTACTATACATGCCTTGAACTCTATCTCACTTGCCTCACAATTTGAAATAACAGGACTATTTTTCTGTAGCCTGTTGGATATCCAGGGGATTTTTCAAGTTGTGTCTTTTTCTGGACTTTTATTTCATCTGTATCCTAAAGAAACTCTATTTTTGTGAATCATGGGAAAACAATTTTTTTCTTCCGGTCATTTCTTCTACAAATGCAGAAGTATATTGTTTCTGCCTTACTTTAAAAAGAGGAGACTGATTCTCCTTCAGAAACATAAGATTAAATTTAGCTTTAACAATGCTACTTAAGGCTTACAATCTCAGCCTGTAATATAAATCATCATAGCAGCTGATGCACTGTCTAAAAGCATCTTATCCAGGAGGCAAAGATCATCCTGGACTTTATTCACTTGATTTATTTTGTTTGTTCTCATTATGTCAATGAAATTGGTATCAGCTTGTTTGAAGCTTAAGTCAGGAGGGATCATGTGAAGAGTGTTGTACCAACATACTCTGTTATTGCCTGGATAGCTGTGCAATTACTCACAAAGTTATCTTTTAGTTAACAATCAATTTTTTTACTCAGGACTTCACCAGACCTTCATCCCTGGTCATGTTCTACCCAGCCATCTCTTTGTTTTTCTTACAGCATATGATAAAGTTTACTGTGTATATTCTTCATATTTATAAATATATAGGTAAAGAATGAGTTTCATTCATACCAGAGTTTTGACTGAAAACCATACAAACCAGGAGAAATTGTGTTGGCCAGAACTTGCCAACACAGTTGCAAGACCCACAGGGTCTAAACCTACCAGTAGAAGTCCTCTCTTCAGTACCTGTAATTAGCCAAGCACATTTCTCATTCAGAAAATTATCATAGAATTAAGTCAGTAACACAGCAGCTGTCTATGTAAGGAGCAGGATGAAATAAATGTACATAAAGGAGACCCAAACACTACTATTTGTCTTATTTGCATTATCTTCATAAAGTTCTCAGCTATTCAGTTATTGACATCAGGCAGACATTAGCTTTGCTGTTGCTTTTTTATTTTTTTCTTATTGAGGAATAGATAACTCAGTGCATCATCTGTAAAAATGACACTCTGCAACATATTATGGCAAAAGTTGTGAACAAGTGGAAGTG